TGTACAAGATAATTTGTCAGAAGAAAAATGAATCCCTGTTAGTCATGATGGTGTGCTTGCTAAAGTAAGAGTGAAGAACTGAGGTAATTTTAGTGGAGATTGAGACTGGGCAACACTGAGTGAGTCTAACGGAATGATGAAGGGCTCATGAGCAGATTAGGTGATTTTGTGAACAGAGCTAAGTGAAGAGCAAATGAGAATGAAGATATCCATGCAGGGAGCACCATGAAAGAACTAGGATCCCGAAGAGGGGGTTTGAAAGAAGAAACTGTTCGCTTACAATGCAAAAAAAAATAAAGTGACAGTGATGGACTTAATGTGGGTTTGCACTTTGACAGTTGTCACATCTATACTGAATAACACTGAGGGTCTGTAAGCAATAAGAACAGCAAGAACCCTCAATTTCTTTCACCCAAGACTCACCTCGGGGTCAATCAGGTTTTGGCGATTATGCACTGTGCCCCATGTTGCTATGCCAATAGCAACAATCTGGCCATCTTTGGAGCTGGTGCTCATGGAGTAGTCTCTGACTGCTTTCCCCACATGCTTCATCACCCCAGCGTGAGTGCCCCCTGTCACGATCCAGGCACCTGCAGGAGAACATTGTCAGAGATATCATTCTGCTCAAGAGCTCTTAAATAATAAATTAAAAATTAGAGAAATCCAATACATATCATGCACTAAGCAAGAACGCATGAAAGAGTGGGCATTAGTTAATCCCCAGAGGCCTTTAGCAAGAAGGACAAAAGTCAATTAACCACTTAATGGCTTGTAGATACTGGTGAAATATTTAATCCCTTCCTCATTTCTTTATTTAAAATGACAAATTCCATGTGCTAAGAACAACTGTTTTTATTAGATTTTTTATTACAATTTTCCATCTGATTATTTAGGTCCATTTAACATTCTAATCTTCAAATGAAAATAGCTTAACTATTACTGCAGGTTTCAATAAAAATCAAGCTGGTTGTAAAAGGAAAGTACATGTACTTTCCTTTACATATACAGAGATTTCTCAATTCATTTTGCAGTGATAAAAATAATAATAAACTGTATACCTAGTTTGAGTAGTGAGTTGCATTGGTTTGTGTTAGTGGGAAAGGAACAAGTAAATGTTACAGAAATATGTTTCTGCTGTTGAGCCTTTCCCATGCCTACAGAAGATTCATGTCAAAACATTATTTCTTCTTTCTACGTTCTGTTACTGTTAATTCAGTGTAAAAGTAAACTTTACTTGTTCCTTTACTACATAATTTTAAAAAATCAGAGCCACTCAATGACATTTATTCACACTGATAAACACAAAATACAGTCTGAACGATCTGGTATTGTTATTATAATGATATTATAGGAAAATAATTTTTATCTTATTACATAATATTTGAACTTCACTATTTTCTGAAAAATCAAAATTACTTCACGTATGTAAAGTTGGCCTTTGATGACAAAAACAAAGTTAAATAACTGTCAATATTATAAAAAAGGTCCACACCTGTAGTGTGGGCTACTTTAATTAGCCCTCTGCGGAACATCACCTTCAACCTAGATTTCATGTAGAAGTTCTTAGCTCCTCCAGTAACGGAGATGAGAAGATTAGGAGGGCTGAGGCCCCAGAACTCCGTCATCAACTGGTAGAGAGTTTCTGTTGAGCTGTCTGACGAGACTCGCACATACTAGACACACAAAACAGGGAGTTGGAGTTAGTGAGATTGCTAACTCAAAACTATATAATTTGAAAAAATCTGAAAAATCTAGGTCATGTCACACTTTATTTCCACACAACAGATTTACATTTACTGTACCTATTCTAGGTTAAACATTGCACAGCAGTGCTGCAAGCTCTTAGGTCCTGCGTTTGCATGTTCTCACCTTAGATGTAGGGTTTTTCATATAATCCAAAAGTAATTTATTTTACAGAAAGCATTAGTTTTATTTCAACATGAAATCCTGTTAGTCTCTTGCTATATTAAAAGAGTGATCAATCAAAATCCTAACAGGACTAATACTGATCCCCGATTCTGATTCCGTTTTGTAAAGGTGGGGTCCAAAGCTTTTCATAGTTTGTGGACTTCCAGTTCTCTTATTTTTTAAAGTTCTGTTTTTATGCTACATGTA